TCACTATTCTGTACCGGATTTACTCCGGTAGTGGAGGTTTTGTTCTTAGGGCCTCAATTTGTCGACTCCGGTGGAGGTTAGTCGCCCGCTAGAGAGTCAGATTGAGAGGGTCTGAAGACCTTTAGTCGAGACTTCAGGCTGTTTAAGAACCTTCCGCAGTATAACTATCATAGAAATCGAACTTGGTAATTACAATCCGGCTTAACTGCAGACTAGGGGAAACCATATCCGGGTGACCTCTCTTAACCTGAATACAACCGTTTTAGTTACTTTGCTTGCTTGTTAGTTTAGAACCTCACTAAAGTTTCATTGCTAGATAATACGAATTCACTGAGTAGTCATCACATCTAGGACCCGGGTTGACATTAAAACCCAAACCCGTTATACTACGCTTTAGGAAGTGGTTACACTTGGCCATTTTCTAGAGTGACAGTAGAGTCGAGTCAGGAAAATTACATTTTGGTACCTAAATTTTTTCATTATGACATTTTAGTACCAAAACTTTTCAAATTTTACATTTTGGTCCAAAATGTAATTTTGACGATCGATAGCAAAGGTCTAGAAGCGGGTTTTGGCTGAGGCAATTTTCAGATCTGCCGACTGGAAAGAAACTCTGGGTCGATTGTTTTGAGATTGAGTTGAGTGAGATTTGGGGGTTCTGTCGCGATGTGATCTTGACGACAGCCATCAACTTAGGAAGAAGCAGATATGGAGGCAGGGGAACCCATATCCCAATCTCGTTGTCGTATTCTCCTTCCTCCGGGGGTGTTATGGGTTTGGGCAAGAGAGAGTGTCGATCCGAGCTCACACAAGCCAGAGGCAACTTCGAATGATAGCAACTCAATCCCAGGTAGCTGCTGCGGCTTGAGGAGCATCCTGCTGGAGGAAAATAGAGGCTCATCGGCATCCGTCGTCAGCGGAGAGGAGATCGATTCGAGAGGTAGAGATTCTCTAACGGTTTCCCAGTTCATTTTGGGGAAAGTAAGATTATTGGGGAAGGGGAAATTTTTTTATTTTAAATACAATATGTTGTCTAGGTTGACCGACAGATGTGACATCTTTTGTTGACTGCCACGTAATAAAATTTCTTCCACCTTAGCATAACTTTTGCCAGCTCACAATTAGGGATGGCAATGGGGTGGGTTTGGGGCAGTTTTGCCTAAACCATCCACATCCCCGTTTTCAAATATCCAAACCCATACCCGCACCATACCCATGTCGGGAAGGTTTTGCAAACTCATCTCCATACTCGTGGATTTCGGGTACCCATGGATAATACCCGCCCCGTAGATCCAACTTTATAACACCTAAAATTTTATATGTAAATTTTTAATGGTATGCCTATGGTGACTTGCAAGTCACCGTAACTTGGAGAAAACGGTGGACCACTTTCAAAGAAAATGGTTGACCTCTTCCACCACGTGGTCTACCACTTGAGTCAACCGGTCTAGCGCTTTCATAAATAGGTCGACCTAATGATACACTTACGTTCAAGTGGTCGACCTCTTCCAGCAAATAGCCGATCACTTTCCAATGAAATGGTCTACCACTTACACCAAGTGGTCCACCACTTGTGTCAATCGATCTACCGCTTCCGGAAATGGGTTGACCTGAAGACACACTTACCTTCAAGTGGTCGACCTCTTCCACCAAGTGGTAGATCAATTTCCAAGAAAATGGTCTACGACTTCCACCAAGTGGTCTACCACTTGAGGCAACTGGTCACAAGACAATGATATAATAAAAAAACAAGCAAACTTAGAATTTGAAGGAAAGATGAAAGTATCTATAGAGTAAGTCAAATTCAAGAAATAAATAAATATTTTCAAATTCTACGGGAGAATAATCACTCGAGAAACTTGCTATATATGCTTGCATCCTTTGTACTAATTCTCAATCTCTTACTAGCAAGCATATCTATTATTATTGGACACTAATTATTTATGATTATATCACTAGCAATGATTCATCAGGTCGACTGGTTATTGAAAGCGGTGGACCGCTTGGTGAAAGAGGTAGACCACTTGATGGAAGTGGTAGCCCTTTTATCTTGTAAAGTGGCCGACCTTTTAGTGAAAGATGTCGACCGTTTGTTGAACATAGGAAATTGAAAAATAGTACATCTGGTCGACCATTCCAGCAAAGAGGTCGACCATTTTGTCCAAATAGGTCGACCATATGAGTGAAGAGGTCAACCGTTTTGTCCAAGTCATGGTGACTTGCAAGTCACCGTAGCAAGTCAAATTTTTAATTATAACACTAAAACACACCTACTATATCATGAAATCAACAAAGAGACGATCATTCTTAACACGGTTCAAAGCATCTTATTCTAAAACATCCATTAAATCACAAGATAGAATACATGTAATCCAAATCATTATTCTCTTCCTCTAATAAATCTACAAAGTAATAACTAACTAACATAATCTTGTTAGCACAGGTGAACAAAAATGAAAGAGTGAAGAGAGAGTTGAGGAAAATGAAGTACGTTTTGATTTTGGTGGTCACCCAATTGCATTTCTACTATTTATTTTCTTGAGTTACCATCACTATTATTGATAGGTTACAATTTAATCAATATATTTTTATATGTGAATAAATGCTCGTGATGGGGCGGGTATGGTTATGGGTATTGGGCGGGGGAGGCTAAAACCATACTCGTCCCATACCCATCAAACGTTTTGCGGGTTTTACCCATACCCGCCCCATACCCAGTCAAAGCGGGGATTCCCCGCGTTGACTGGATCGAGGGCAGTCGAGTACCTGCCGCCATGGGTTTGATTGTCATCCCTACTCACAATCATCTAACAGAATTGTTAACTGAGAGTTAACGTTTGGCTAATAATTTGTATTTTGATAGTTGTGGCTATAATTTCCTGTTGCTTAATAGTTCTGGCTAATATATTGTATTTATCCAATAAATTATTCTCATTTTTGACACATGTGATAAATTTTTCTCATGTTTATATACTATGTTGGTATTGGGGATGACAATGAGGCTGGTTTGGCTAAACCACTCCCATCCCCGCTTTCAAATATTCAAACCCATACCCGCCCCATACCCATACGGGGAGGGTTTTCCAAACCCATCCCCATATACCCGTGGGTTTCGGGTACTCATGGGTAATACCTGTCTCGTACATCCAACATGATGACACCTAAAATTTTACATACAAATTTTCGATTATAACACTAAACGCATTTACTATATCATGAAGTCGACAAAGAGACAATCATTCTTAACACGGTTCAAAGTATATTATCCTAAAGCATCCGTTAATCCATAAGGTAGAATGCAATGTAATCCAAATCATTATTCTCTTACTCTAATACATCTACTAAGTAATAACTAACTAACTAGGTGGCTACTTCGGGGCACTCACTTTTTGGGTGCATTCAGTGCACTCAACTCTAAAAGTGATAATAATACATCGAATTTTGAATTTTAATGGGTAGCATTAGTCTAATATGATGATATAATATAGAATCACAATTAATCAATCTATTATCATAACCCCTTAAACTTCAATAATGAATTCCAACCCTAAATATAAACCCTAACCCTAAATTTCTAAACCCTAAATTATTCAAATTTACAGTTAATCTTGAATGATTTTTTGTACAAAATCATGTGTTTCTTGTTCATCTAACCACAAGTGATGATTGATATTGTTTTCACATGAATCGCCTTCTCGGAATGTCGACTATGAAGCGAGTGCATTGAATGCACCCAAAAAAGTAGGTGCACTGAATACGCCACCAACTAACATAATCTTGTTAACAACCGAAACAATGAAAGAGTGATGGGAGAGTGCGGGGAGGCTAAAATCATACCCGCCCCATACCCATCAAAGGTCGATCGAAGTACCCACTGACTGGAATCCATCTAGACATTAAAAGAAAAGATTTTTGCGGGTTTTACCCATACCCGCCTCGTACCCGGTCAAAACGAGGATTCCCCACGTTGACTGGGTCGGGGCGGGCGGCTACACGCGGTCATGGATTTGATTGTCATCCCTAGTTGGTATCAACATATTATTTTGTTCATAAATTTTAAGTAGTTAATATCATGTTATTTCATAGTAACTAGTATCTAAACAATTATGATACATTTCTCTTTTAAATTATAAGTAACACATATTTGCTCGCATACTCAAAGTTTAAACATTGTATGGGGTTAGATGATCTACAATTTAACAAGCTCATGAATCATCAAGAAGTCAACACATAAGATATAGATCAACCTTCTCGTAAGTGGGTAGTCGTGTTAACTCATTAGCCACAATGTTGAGACATATCCACCCCCTATTACATGAACAAGTTAAAACTACACTGAACAAGAACAATTTGGTATTTTCCCTGTTAAACTTGTACAAAAAACGGTTTTGTGTTGCCATTTTGACCAAAAACTAATTCGGACCGAATCCCGCCCTTATTACACGATGGACTTAAATGACAAACATCAGAAGTGCACTCTTCCATCTTTTTATCGAATTAATGCTAACGACGCATCATAATCAGCCACGTGCCGAGTTTCCATTAGTCAAATTCAAATGTTCATTTAAGCCTTAACACTATACATTAGCCGTTAGGCTATTTAAATAGAAAACCCCAGGAGTGCAAAGGTTTGTGCCAGTCTCATTTCCAACCCATTCTCCTTTTCTCTCTTACAGGACTCGATCTAGGAATGCAACTATAGAGTTCCAAGTTCCAACAAAGAAATTGATAAAAACGTGTATTCTTTCTTTCCAATTCTTAAGTAATTACAACCTTCACGTGACCCTAATCAAGGTCAAGGGTACAAAATGTTTATTTAACACACTGGTCCGTACTTCAAGTCAACAGACTTTTTGGAGTTGCTTTGCTTGGGGCCAAAGCTGGGAGTGCAACCCAAATTGCAACACACCACTGGAATGCTTTTCCTACCCTCTCTCTCTCTCTCTCCCTCTCCCTCTCCCTCTTAAAAGCCATAAACCCAAAACCCCTACATTATAGCTCTCGGAACTCCGCCTAAAAATAGAACCGGGAACAAACAAGAGAAGAGAAGAAACCGCTCTCTCCCTTGGGTCCGCCGCCGTCGGCGTTGATCAGACCTGGATGCAAAAAGAGGATCACGGCAGAGTGAAAATTTTCGAAATTTCTCTTGCATGGCGTTCAACTCTCGAGCAAAGCCGCATTCTTCCAGGAAGAGGAAGCCCCGGCGACTCAAAAACTTGCTTCTTCTCCGTGACAAAGTGGAGGTACTGCAACGCTAGTGAAAAAAGGGTTTTTCAAAATCATGTCTTTGCTGGATTTTCCTTTTGTAATGTCTGTTTGTTGGTTGGTGCCCTTTTTAGCTCCGGTTTCCTTCAGTGTTTGCCTATATCTGAATTCCCCCCTTCTCTCTGCAATTTCAACGCTTCCCAAACATGGGTTCCCCGTTTTCCATCGTGTGATTCCAGATTTGGGTTTTGATGATCACCTGGCAGGTAAGAAGCAAAGAGGAAGGGTTTCTAGGCTCGTGGCACCAGGGAACCATCATTCAACGTCGAAGGATCGGCTACCAAGTGAAATTCGATGTGAAGTATGATCATTTAATTGTCGATGATGGTTCTTCTGACAATGTGGTTGCTTCCGTGCCTGTTTCACTTGTGGTGGTCTCTGATCAGGAGACTACTACTACTACTCCTCGTGGGTACATTAGGCCATTGCCAAACCCAATCGAGTTCGACCTGTGGAGGCTTCCTTTTGGGTTATGTGTTGATGTGTATCACAATGATGGTTGGTGGGAAGGTGTGATTTTCGACTATGACGATGGTTCGAAAGAGAGGAAAGTTTTCTTCCCTGACTTGGGTGATGAAATGATGGCTCCTATCTCTGCACTCAGAATCACCCAGGACTGGGATGATGTCACCGAGAAGTGGGATCGTCGAGGAATGTGGCTGCTTCTTGAGTTGGTTGAGGAGTACAGAGACAAGCATCATTACCATATTCCGGTCTCCATCCAACAATTGTGGTATGACTTACAGGAGAAGCCCGGGTTCGTGATGATTCGAGATTGGACTTGCTCTTCCAGAGCTAAATGGGAAAGTTTGCTTTTCGAGGCAATTCACGGGAATCTTAAAATCGTCGTGAAGCATCTCTTTCATGAGTTAACCCTTCCACAAGGTCTAGAGAAGGTATTGGAGCTTGCTAAGTCGGTTGGTCAGGGTAGTAGTAGTTATACGGACTCTGAAGGAGTCAGTGATGAAGTACCAATTGATTTGTCACTATTGTGCACTCTGGATCAGGAGCAAGCAAATGCAATCATACCCTCAAGCACTGAGCAAGCAAATGCGATCATACCCTCAAGCATTGAGCAAGCAAATGCAATCATACCCTCAAGCATTGAGCAAGCAATTTCTGCTTCTAGTTCCAGGAAAATCAAAAGCTTCTGCTCAACTTCATTCCGTCCGAGACAAAAATACACCTGGCTACCTGCAGGGCCAGATATGGTTCAAGGAGCAAAGTATTGCCCGGAAGCTATTTTCAAATGTGTAAAACGTGGCCGTGCCACTGGCAGCAGAGACTCGGCTGATGAGGCTAGGCAACATCTTCTTTATCTGAAATGGAGGATTATGTACTACAAGGACGCATATAGCATCAGAAAGCGTTACATATCGCCAACCGGCAAGTGCTTCGATTCAGTTGTAACGGCATGTCGGTATTTGATCAAGTCCGAGGGTGTGAATCCTCAATTGGTCTCTTCAGGACATGAGCAAGCATCAACCCTCCATGACGAGGCTGCTGCAGCTTGCGGCTCTGTGTCTCCCCTTCATGAACTGCAGCAGCAGGATGATGATCATCATGGTTCTCGTATCTCCGTTAAACGTCCCGATTCCACTAAAGCAATAGTGGATTGGCTTAAGGATCCTCGCAGAGGCGGAGGCAAGAAGAACCGTGCTACGAAAAAAGGAGCAAGGGATAAGCTTGCGGCTATGGGATGGACGGCTAAGGTAATGAAACGTGGTGGCGGCAAGTGTCAGTGGGTATATAAGTCGCCGATGGGGCGTCTTTACTACTCACTTGTAGAAGCTTGCAAAAGCATTATGGACAATAAGAAGGATAAATCTGTTGTTGCTTCTAAACTTGCTAGAAAACAGAGCAAGACTACTACTAGATGGGTTAGAAGAGGCCCGACAGAAAGAACAGAAGCTGATTTGGGTATTCATAAGAAACCTGGTCAACCGACGTCACATATACGATCAAGGAAACAAGCACGGCAGATTCTAGAGCTTACACCTGCACATACTCATCCTATGACCACGGTTTCATGGCTAATTGATAAGAATGCAATCTTGCCAAGGGAGAAAGTATATTACCGTACGAGTAAGGATGATCATCCCAGGGCAAAAGGGAAACTAACCCGTGAAGGGATCAAATGCGAATGTTGTATGAAGGTGTATTCTCTCAGTAGTTTTGAACTTCATGTAGGCAATACAAACCACAGAAACTGCCATGGACCAGCTAACAGCATATTTCTGGCTGATGGAAGGTCTCTATTAGATTGTCAGGTGCAGGCGATGCATGCTGGAAAGGGGAGGTGCTTAGCTGCAGGCCACCAAAAGAGATTGAAGGTTAGTCGCGAAGCGGAGAATGACGAGGTGTGTTCGTATTGTCGGCATGGGGGCAAACTAATCTTATGTGATCAGTGTCCATCCTCGTTTCATGGCAGTTGCCTTGGTATGAAAGTAAGTAATCTTCTATTCTTTGTTTTTCTGCAGATATATGTATCACTTGTATACCTTAGCTGGCATATTCTGGATTTTGTCTTTGTATATTTTCAGGATGTTCCGAGTGGGGACTGGTTCTGCCCCTCGTGTTGTTGTAGGTTTTGCAAGCAAAACACAGCGCTCAAAGACAGTGAAAGCTTTGTGGACGATGGTGTTCTCAAATGTACCCAATGCGAGAAAAACTGTAAGTTTCTCAATTTGAATCAGAAAAAAAAAATGCACATTTATTCATTGTTGAAATTCATATATTCTACCCAAACAACCCGAAAATATGTTTCCCGAAATTGAAACTTCTCTGCTTTATTTGTAATCTATCTGGTGCAGATCACATTGCATGCCTGAAGAACAATGGAGCATGTGATCTGGATCTCGATCATAAAGGAAACTCATTTTGCGGGAGTAGCTGTAGAAGGGTACTACTTCACACTCTCCCTAAACCTCCACCTCAAAATTAGAAAGGGATTTCTAACTGTTAAACTTGTCGTCTACAGATATTCGATAACCTGTCTGCGATTCTTGGAGTACCAGTTCCGGTTGGTGTGGATGACCTCACTTGGACATTACTGAAATCAGACTCTGGTGATTCTAGCATTGAAGCTAAAGCTCAGAGCTATATGAAACTTGGCATTGCTCTTCATATCATGCATGAGTGTTTTGAGCCTCTTGAAGAATCTCGCACACGGAGAGACATTGTAAATGATGTCATTTTCAATGAAAGGTAGGTCTGTCGGTCAGTCCATTCCTGTTCCGAAATACAAATTAATATATACTTCCTACTTCCTTTTGCAATAACTAGTTCCCCAATTTCCTCTGCAACACCAAAATTTCCAGGTCAGAACTAAAACGCTTGGACTTTCAAGGCTTCTATACAGTACTCATTGAGGAAAATGAGGAAGTAATTAGCGTGGCAAATTTGAGGTTGGTTGGTTGGCAATCTCATCATTTGTGACAGTATCTTGGACTTCCCTTCTTCGGCTCCAAGTACTAATGACTTGTTGTGGGTTTTGTTTAACTTGCTTTCTTCAGAATCCTTGGGGAGAGTGTTGCAGAAGTACCTCTAGTTGCCACAAGGCATCAGCATCGTCGTCGTGGAATGTGTCGCGTCATAATGAATGTGATTGAAGAGGTGCCAGAATCTGTGTATCGCTTCAGTCTTTCCAGTATTTATTAGTTTTTGTTTGACCCTTTCTTTTCTTCTAACAAGATTTTCCCATTCTTTCTTGGCATGCTCAGAAGCTAGCTGAGCTAGGAGTTGAGAGGCTGGTTCTACCCGCAGTTCCTAATGTGTTGAACACATGGACGGGTTCATTTGGGTTTTCAGAGATGGCTGATTCCGAGAGACTCCAGTTTGCAGACTCCATTTTCTTGAACTTTCCAGGCACTATCATGTGTCAGAAACTGTTGACTTCCAATGAATTAACCCCATTGTTGGAGAAAGGTATTTTTCCCAGTCCCAGTGCCTTGCCTTAAACAACTGAAAAATTCACGTCTTTTGCCCTTTCCGTTCTTGAATTGCACTTTATGCAGAAATCCCACCAGAGAGCCATCACAATACCTGTGGGAATGGTGAAGAAATGGAGGTGGAGCTTGATGGCTCATCCAGCCTGGTATCTGAAGTATTTCAAGCGGAGGACACAGCGCAGATACAAGAAATGACGCCAACTGTTCACCCGCCACCAATAGAAGAACACTGTTCACTGGAGACTGACTGCTGCAGATCTTGCTCAAGTTCCCCAGCTTCAGTCGAGGAAAAATGCCCCCCTGGTGGCTCTGATTGTTTTATCAAGTACTTTAGAAAGAACAAGAGGAAGAAAAACATGTAAAGAAAAACTTAGAATTATGAATTAATGTTATTGCTGATTGAAGATGCCGGCTTTGGTGAACCCGCGACCTCAGCTGACTTATAGCTGACTTTTGTTCTGAGTGCTTCGTCAGATGACTCTGTAATAGGGTTTTGTTTGCAGCAAAGTTTAACTTGATATTATCATCCTCATTTTTCTTTTGTCATATTATCATCCTAAATATACTTCTGCAAAATATCATTCATGTATTAAAGTCAATCGACAGAAGGCTACAGCAGGAGTTTTTCCGAAATGGTATCAAACAATGTAATCTGGGTTTTTCCTACATGAAAATGGGGATCTAAAAGAAAGAGAATCTCCATCTTGTCTCGTCTCATGCCAGTGACTCCACCAGCCAGTCTTGGGAGTTTTGAGCACAATCCCCAGCTTCAGCTTCAAACACTGTTAAGGAAAATAGAAATTCCCGCAAGATCGTCCTAAAGAATATGCTGTCATCTGCATCCCCCTTTTTCTCTTTTTGTCTGAAATGGATCCGAGAAGCAAACATAATTTTCTGAGTTCTCCTTATTTCCAGACCATCTATACTCTGTGTATGTTCAACAACAGAAACACCTCTCTATACTTTCCCCCAGTTTCCTTCCCTGGCTTAGGCCTGCATCAAGCATGAAATATTGGCATATGTATGAAACGAGGGGATCACAGCTTTTAATGGTAAGAATAGTTCAAGGACTTACGGGCGAATGAGGGATCTGAAGAAGAATAAGTGAGAAACAGTACAAAAACAATGAAATTGCAGCTCCAGCGACAAAATTGTAGAACAACCGTCGGTTATCTTTCGTTGGGATGAAAACCGACTTCAATGTGTTAGTCAAATCAAAAAGCCGATGAGAAACCTGGAAGCAAATACAGCTGCTTGATTAAAAATCAATAGTCCAAGTTCAACACCACAAGTAATATTCATTGAGATACAACTTTTGCTTACCAGGACGTAAATGGCAGTGGTGAGCATGAAATTCAACAATGGGTACCCTGGGATGAATGATAAAAGCCACTTTGGCTGTCCGTTGGGCATGTTTGATCTAAAGCATGCATAAGAAGTGCATAAGAAACTCCCTTACTAAATAGCTATGAAACCTGAGGAAAAGACCAACTAGTTGTTCAGTGTACAAACCTCAACCAGATGTGGAACTGTGAAATATAGGTCTCCAAAGTTATCTTCCCAAGCCAACTATTAACCGGAGTGCCAAACAAGGAAAAAAGCAAACATAATCAGAGAATGTCCAAAAAAGTTGTAAAATTTGTCGCATGTAATGTAAGTAACTTACGCAAAGAGAGTCAAAGAGCAACCCCGGAGCTGGTGAGTGAAATTACGCAGGGATATGTATACACTGGCATTACAATAAGGCAGATGCGACAATGAGATGTTTGAAATAAAAAGACAGCGCATTGTGTCATTTTCTTTGTATAAAGAAAGCTAAAGCTAAATCCTTGATTGATACATACGTGATGGGAATCCATGATGTATATGGGTGGAACTTGTTGTAGGTTACCTTGTCCATTTTGTAAATATATTCATACCACATATATCCGACCTATACATAAAAATAAGATAATGGTTAATGACATAAAAGACAGAAACATGCAATTGAGGAGATGGGAAGCAGATTATGATAGGAGCAACTCACAAATACAGTAACTGCCACGACTCCTGTCTTGATTGTGAGTTTCTTCTTTGTTTCGGCTTCTTCCAATTTCTCCATCCATTTTTCAACCTGAGTTTTTCCATATCAGTGTGTAAGAGAGATTGTGAGCTTAGATAGCGACAAAGCAGACATCTATCCTTATCCAACAGAGAAGGAACACTCACAGTCGGGTGATAATAAGCATATATCATTCCAATGATCCATATGTACCGATCAAGTCCGGATCTGAAGTGCCATTCATGGAGTCTAGGGAAATCAGGCTTAGCAGGATCAGTGTACCCTACATTAGAAAAAGAAGATAACTGTATTTTCATATCCAGACCTCAATGCCTACTCCAGAGGGTGTAAACAACATTAGCTGGGAAGTGAGAGCTATTCAATTAGAAGATAAGGAAAAAGGGTTAATGCTAACTAACCTAACATAAATGCTAAAGGACTCCAGAGGATTTCGAAAACTCCAGGGACTTCCCAGATCAGGATTACAGCAAGGAAGCAGGAAAGAATTTTCACTGCCATCACTGAACTGTTTTCGTTGTACTTGTTAAAGATACCCAGAGATCCATACACCATCAAAGTGAAAAGCGTATGCATTGGGCAGATGTAGTATAGCATGTAATCATTGTTAAGAACAATACAGCAGAACACCACAAAGAAATTAAGCCGCCACATCATCTGCACCAGATAGTTCAACATTCAGAATAATAAATCAGATTATATACAACAGAGAAGAATATTAGTTATAGTTATGGAAAAAGTTAAAACTTGTTAGAAGCAAGGAACAAATACCTGAGCAAAGCGTGCTACGCTAAAATCTTTTCTGATGTAATAGTAAGAGAAGTTTCCAAACCCAGTCATCCAAACATAAGCAGCAATAAAGACTCGTATAGCATTGTATATCTCTGCCGCGGCAAAGTAATGATACATTAAGAATAGGACCTGTTAAATAAAACCCAATAAATTGGCATGAGAAATAGAGGGGTTTTAACATTCACAGTAATAGTCTACTCAAGCTCTAACATCAAACATAGAAACAATAATCAGCGCACATGGTCAATATGTTGTTACTAATTCACTGTCATTGACAGAATTACGTTGACTCAAAGCTATTCTCCTTTAGTCTGGTGGAGAAACTAACATCTTGTTTCATCATCTTAAAACTTGCTTGGCAACTTCTAACACTATTCAAAGGATGATCCACTAACTATCACAAGAATATGAAAGGGGGAGGGGGTTCAAAAACCTTAAATGACAGAAGAAGAATTGTTCAAAAAGAAACCTGTAGCCAAATAAGAGGAAGCCAAAGATAAACCATGACTGACCAAAAGAAATGAATAAGTTAGACAACTAGTCATATCACAACAAACTCTATAATAAGTGCATTTGAAAAAATGGTTTATGAAGCTACTAAACAGGATTAGTTAATAAATTTGACAGGAAATACTGGCCTGCATCCATCCTTTCCACTCCTCAGTCTGATGCCTGTTCAGGTACATAATGGATTTCCCGGAGAATGCTGACTTGTCACTATGCTTCTTAAATGAAGTCATTGCCGATACTATAATGAGGAGAAAGTAGAGAAACAGAAAGAGGTCGCGGTTGTATGTCTGTTCAAAGAACAACAGAATAAGCAGAGGAGTCACAAACATGTCAAGCATTAACATTTAACGGTACATAGACCACTCAAAAGAATTATCAAACCTCATGATGACAGTACCTTAGTAGAATCTGGCAGCACATTTGTGCGATCACATATGTAAAAGTACACCAAAAGTGCCCCAAATTCAGACCTAGAAAAGTTTCTCTGGTTAGAATTTGGGGTGGGGGATCCAAGTGATCAGAACACGGAAATTGAAAAACATACCAGCATCACTTACATTGCTCTCAAAGTTGCTCTGTTTTCCAGCAAGAAAGCATCATCCATGGTCAAGAACCTAGCAAATTATATGTGCAGAGGGTAAGAAAGAATTCAAGTAATGTCAACATACAATTGCCAGGATAAAAACATATCCTAGAATATAACCTGATTAAATTCATTTTGATGGATGAAACATGGAATTTCGTTGAGGTCGATCTCGTAAGACCTCCTTCCAACAATACTGCTCTATCGTCTTCTTTGATGGCATCCTTTCCTAAGTCATCCAGGTTGTTGTCTGAATGACTGCAGTGTGGACAGCTCAGTTGTTAGGATCAAGGGGAAAGGGGAAAACAAATTAATGTGATGATAAGACCAAATTTTATGACTAGGATATGGGAAGCCAATATTTATATTCTTTGCCAACATCAAAACATAAAACTTCTACGAGATGTTAACTATTGCACCCAAACAGCTTGAACTTATAGAAAGTTTGTTCTACAGCCCAAGTAGGGCTACACGTAAACTGCAGCCTAAACTCAACAGAGCTAGCAGCTTGTACAAGCAACATTATGATCTGCTAAATCGGATAATACATGGAATGCACTTACACTTTGGCAGGAGTTGAAGACTTCCTGTACTCCAGGAACTCTGAGTATATCCATGCAATAAAGATTGGGATAAAACCAAGCAAAAATGACACCTGTGTCACAGTAAACTAACTTTAATATATATGCACCTACATAGCTAAGCACACGAAATCGGCCTCAAATATGCGATCAGAATGAGTAATTCCTAAAGAGTATATTCCATAATTAATCAATCAACAACAAGAAACAAACCAACACATAAATGAAATGAAGGCGCTGATAGAAAATATCTCTTATACATTCAAACTTCAGCTCTTCTTGAACATTTGAAATTTGAATTGCCAAAGATTTCACATCCACCATTAGCGCTGGTAGACGGAAGAAAGAAATTCCTTAAAATAGTCAAAAGGACAAACATTGTCTGAAGCAACAATGGCAGGGGAACAAGCATAGCATCCTTAATCTACAGATCAAGGCAACCGGAAGCCAGAGCAGCATCAGCGTGAGGTCAGACTCAATGACTTGCCAATGGCAGCTAAGCAAAGTAAAGGCTACTTAGAGCAAGTTCCTTCACTAAGCAAGGTAAGCTGAGCATTCATCAAATCATCAAACATCTTGCAAAAAAAGAACGAAAGAAAGAAATCCATGCCAATCAGGGGACAAATTCCCCTAAAAAGCTCTCTTTTAAAAACCCCTGTTCTGTAATGGAGTCCCGCCACAATCCAAACAGTTATAGAAATTTGATGCAGGACCAGCATTGTAGGAAGCAAAAACTGAACTCAGCTTCAACCCAACAACACATTTCAGAGAAGAATTCCAAAATCGAGAAGATCAAAGTAGTAGCAGCAGGCAAGCTTGAAAGCTGCGCACCTGCCCAGGCGTAATCGGCCCCGACACGGCCACCATGTTTGTGATCCGTACACTGCCAACAATCCAAACAAAAGAAGAAAAGGCGAAATTCCAATCAAAACCCAAAATGCAAATCGCTCTGAATTCTCCGACCGGAATCGAGATTCAGCAGAAGAGGAAAGAAAATGAGAGAAGAGGGTACCGGCGCGACGGAGGAAGAGAGCGGGATAAGATAGAGAGTGGCACGGTGACGACGAGGGTCAAGCGATAGAGGGAAAGAGTGATCTATTAAACGGCATCTTCATCGTAAAGATATACAAACGACCAGAACGGCAGGATAGATGTAGAGAGAGAGAGAGATCTGGTGAGAGATAGAGAAAGAGGGGCAGAGTTTTCTTGAAGAAACAGGAAGATTGTTTGTTGAATTAACAATGTAAAAAAATATGGCGGAAGCGGTAGAGACGTCTGCTTCACTGCGGGCAACAATGGAGGAAATCGTTTGATTAGTCGAAGCAGTTGATGTTGTTGTTGCCAGTTGGTGGCGATGGAGATGGGAATTGGGATTATGGAGACTGGGGGAGTCCTTTTCCGGCTGGTGGATTTGGCCTATCAACGCTGGTGAAAGAGATTCATCAATGGCACCAACAGCAAGAACAAAACACGACCAAGAATATTCAGGGAAGGAGGGGGGAAAACAAGTAATTTAACCAATTATGAACTTTTATCAAAACAAAACCCCTAAACAAATTTGGAATTATTAATTCTTATTAGTGAGTGATCTAATATTCTAGCATCTGTGAGAGTTTGATTTGTTAAGAATTCTCTTTTGCAAACACAAATTTAAAATTATAAGATCTATGGACAAAAATGACTTGAAAATTGATAGAGTTCGAACTCAATATCTAATAATTATAAGTCGAGACTAATGCAGGAGAGAGTTGGAACATCTCCAACTACTGCTTATATTCATGGAAGAGATGATAATCGGCCATAGCCTTGTACAGTACTTATATAACCCCTATAACTATCAACTAGGGTTATGGAATTACAATCCTTCTCCATGTAGATGACTCGCCACGGATACACCACGATTTAAATCCCGACTAAAGCCCAAGCATAAATTCTAGCCGGGTGCACTGCAGTATAGGAAAAGTATGTTTTAATTGTCAAATCCGGACCGGTTCATGTATTCTTACTTCAATCGCTTATGTTGTTATCTAGCAAACGTTTTTGGGTTTAAAACGAAGAAAACTACAATGAAAACAAGCAAGTAAAGTAAATCGAGGTTGTCCCAATGAGAGAAGAATTCACCCGGGTATTGCTCCCCCTAGCTACATATCAAAATCGCCCAAATTGAATGCAAATGCGTGGAGGTGTGTTAATACACCATAGGAAGGCGCAATAAGCGAAGGAAACCTCACTCTCTTAATCAATCTATTAAGAAGAACGATTAAGCTAGGAACCTTAGCTCTCTCAATCAATGGATTAAGGATTCCTACAATAAACTAGGGAGTCTAGCTCTCTTAACCTTTCAGCTAAGGACTGCAACAATAAGCTAGGAGTCCTAGCTCTCTTAACCGATAAAACTAAGGGTTGCAAAACCCAATCCCTCGGAACTTAATCCGGACGAAGAAATAACACCCAAGTTAAAGTGCTAAATCGAAGTTTGAGGTTTGCCCTAATTTTTCCTAGGTAGGTGACCCAATTGGCCAAGGAATCCAGCTTATCAAAGCCTCCTAACAAAAAAGGGGAATTCCCTCTACCTAGGTCAAATTGGCATAGTAATGAGAAATGAAGAACACAACCCAAACGTAATGAAAATACCTCAAACTTTGCATTAAACACAAACCCACACACAAAGCATTCAATTAATACAATCTATCACATATTTCAAGCTAGGGTTCACAACACCCAAGTGAATCGGTAGACTATTCCATAGCCAGGCAAAGGAAAACAAGAAAAAAAAAGAGAAAGAACCATGAAGAGATGACAATCTTCCTTCCTCCTTGCTTGAATCTCCCTTGAGAGGTAAGAATCTTCACTCCTCTAGCTTATAGCAAGCCCAATCTCCTTCTTGCTCCTCTGAATGACACACTCTCTATAGAATAGGAAGAGGAAACCCTAATCTCTCACTAGGGCGCAACTCTTCGTATCCCGACAAGGTTTCGAGGTAGCCCAGGATACGAAGAGTTGCACCCATATGTGTTTGAGTAGGTGAATTGACAAAATGGCTCATGACATTGACTGCATAAGTCATGTCGGGTCGAGTAAAGTGAGGTAGAGCAAGCGACCCACCAAGAGACGGTATGTGGAAGGATCAATCAAGAGATCATCATCATTGGCAGGGTCACAGGGCAAGTCAAATGATGAATTTGTTCAACCGAAAAAACACTAGGACGATCACCTTCTATGTCAGCATCCTCGAGTATGTCGAGGGTTTATTTGCAGTGAAAAAGAACAACACCATCGCGATATAACGAAGTGCAGCCAAATCATTGATGCTGAATTTATCATTCAAGAAACACTAGACCTTGGTGATGAAAGGTAGATCTTTACCCGTCAGAATGACATCATCCACATAAATGAGTGTGACAACTAAAGTACTTCCCCGGTGGAAAATAAACAAAGAGTGGTCGATCGAAGAAGACCGAAAACCCAGAGAACATAACGAAGTTGTGAACCTATGATACCAGTTGTGCGAAGCCTGTCGAAGACCATAGATAGACTTTTGGAGGCGGCAAATGCGAGTGTCACAGGGTGTGACCAACCTAGAAGGCATCTTCATGTAAACTTCTTCCTTGAGGTCATCATGGAGGAAGGCATTGTTGACATCTACTTATGCAAATGCCAACCTCGACTAAAAGCGACAACCAGAAGACAAAAAAAAATGTTATGATCATGTGTGCTTTTATTATTGCTAAATAGGATAAAAAATAGGAAAAAGAAGATGTGCGAAATAATGGACGATAAAAACAAAATAATTTATGATAATATGTTGTTACATAAACAGAAGGAAAAATAATATGTACATCAACTTCCAAGCAGAAAATGAGAAGATTGAAATAAATTTCTCCATACGAATTGATTCACTTCTTATTACACAAACAAAAAATATAAATCCGAATATCTACGACTCATAAATCTCATATATTCTCACAGTATTCACATCAATATTCAATGGTATTTTCTCAACTGCAAATCCTACATGACTTTAAATATGCAATTGCAAAGATGGTTGCACCAATTTAGTACGCATTTTAAAAATGTAAGTCTGCAAAATGCAAGTCATATAAAAATATAAAAACAATGATTTTATTTTTTCTCGCTTAATTAATTAATTTTTTATTTATTATAAGTTCACTTAAAGCCTCGTACATGCAATTACAAGTAAATTGAATTAATGTAATTGCAATAAAATAAAATTGGATTGGATTGCATATATATTTTTTTATTTTGGTGTGAACAGAGCTATTAGGGCGTGGATTGCATAAAATTTGAAATAAAAAAACATGTGCAATTAATTTTACAATTATATTGAAATCTTTGTCTCAAAAGCCTATCAGCACTCAGTTCTTCTTTTATCTGTCCGGGCCAAAAGCCCAAATACTGGGCCCGCATTGATTGGCACTGATGCTTGCTTCTGTGGCAGTTGGACTGGAGGAACTGGTCTAAACCAGTATTGTTTGGGTCCATTCTTGTTAGGACTTGTTTCTCATTCAGATTCCCACAACTTTTTGTTATGCCTCCCCTGTCTATCAAATTTAATTTATCTTACTTATTTTTTTCATACCGATTGGTATAAAAGAATTACATAAGTTTTGAGGAATTTATTTAGAAATAAAACATTTTTGTGTTTGGTATTTAAGAGAAGTCATTTTAAATTCTAAATTTTGAATTCTATGGAACATGTTGAGGGATTAGGCGGCAATTGAAAGAGCGGCTCGAAAGCTTGACGAACAAGTGAAAAGAAAAAGAAAAAATGAAGTCAAGGCAACAGTATCTTACAAGATATTTCAATGAAATATTGTACTGCGATTCTAATCAAAACTTCTAATCTAAAGAGAGTTGAAAATTCTTGTATTACCTATTTTGTTCGTAATTTTCTTACTTATTACTATATTCTCGTGTTGATTAGCCTTTTCCAAGGATACTGCTAGATCCGCTAAACCTTGCCCACCTGAGCGTGATTGCACACGCTCTTCATGCGGAGGGAGGGCGGAGGATTTAGAAAAGTAAGGGGTAAGTTCTGTCATTTAAAAGTACTCGCTATGTTGGAACTACTTGTAGCAATTCCGAGGAATTGAGATGGAATTTCCAAATGAATTCCACAAGTATTTACTAATTATAATAGAATGACATAATTATCCTCTTTTATTAACTGAATTACTTATACACAGGGGCGGAGCTAGCATCTAGTGGTCGGGGGGGCCGGACTTTATTGTATAATATTCGTAAAAAAAATTAAGAAAATATTTACATTGTGAGTCATAAGCTTCAAAATTTAATTATCTAGACTCCAAAATTTAATTATCTAAATTAGAAAAATATTATAAGCTCCAAAATTTCATTATCTAGTTTGAACTTTGAAATTAAAAAGTATTTGAATAAGTACAAAAGTTAAGTGATCAATCTAAATTTTAAACAAAAATTCAACCAAAGTAGGAAAACTAAAAAAACAATGTTGCTGTCAGGGATTGAACCATGGTACTGGTATTCACAAATACCAAGTAGCTGCATTCCGTTAGACTAGACCCAAACATATTTGCTCATTATTGCACGTTATTGTTAATCTACAATAGTTAACTTTTTCAGAATTTTCAAAATTCTCGATATTTTTACACGCGATCTCCAAAATTCTCGGGGGGGCCGGGGCCCCCCCGAGGCACAAGGTAGCTCCTCCCCTGCTTATACATATGACATACCAAACACAAAAATTCATTTGACAATGAATTCTACACTGCAATTCATTTTATTTCTATAGATTTGAATATGACATACCAAACACAATATTTCATTTGACAATAAATTCTACCCGGTAATTCATTATATAATGAAATGAATTATCGATTCATTTGGTACCAAACGGTCTGTTAATATCAATTACATCAAACATCAAATGAATGTATGTGAATAACACTGGTAAATACAGACATTCTTGAGTTCGTTTTGGTTAAATTACAAAGTGGATGCTTATTGTCCTTGATATATATTAGTAATTGCAAGTTCTCTTCACTAGAATTACTATACTAAAAATTTCAAATTTGCCACTAAATATAGTTTAGGGCTGAAAATTTGCCTGTCCCGTCCCTGTCCCTGTCCCGTCCCTGACCCTGTCTGTCCCGTCCCTAAAGGGACAGCTTGCAGAATCGACCCGTCCCGTCCCTGTTCTCTTCTTGACCCTGTCTGACCCTTTAGGGTCGGGACGGGTCGGGACGGGACGGGTCAGCGGGTCGACCCTCTCCGACACAAAATTAAATACCAAATTATAAAAAAAACAGAAAATTAATTAATTAATTCATATAATAATTTATTTATGAAATTATTTCAGAAAATTAATCAATTACGAAATTAATTTCAAAAAATAATTTTTTACGAATTTCAGTTCAGATAATTATTTATTCATCAAATTAATTCCAAAAAATTAATTAATCACCAAAATAATTCCAAAAATTTAATTAATCACCAACATAATTCCAAAATATTAATCAATTGTCAAAATAATTCCAGAAAATTATTTATTTACCCAATTTATTCTAGAATATCATTTATTTATCAAATTAATTCCAGAAAATTAATTAATTAATTAGTTAAATAATTTATTTATGAAATTATTTCAGAAAATTAATCAATTACGAAATTAATTTCAAAAAATCATTTTATTTACGAATCTCTGTTCATAAAATTATCTATTCATCAAATTAATTCGAAAAAATTAATTAATCACCAAAATATTCCAAAAATTTAATCAATCACCAACATATTTCCAAAATATTAATCAATTGTCAAAATAATTCCAGAAAATTATTTATTTACCCAATTAATTCCAGAAAATTAATCAATTGCCAAAATAATTTCAGAAAATTATTTATTTACCAAATTATTTATTTACCAAAATATGTGTGAGGTGTAAAAGTAGGAGAAGCACTACTAGTACCCTGAGCTGTAGTATTGGTACCTTGAGCGCTAGGAGTTCTAGATTTCTTCTGATTATGATTACTATAAGGATACTTTTTGCATCTTTGCAAATGCCTTTTCAAACCACTTGTTCCAAAAGTAGATGGACATTTTAACTTCGATGAACAATATTTGCAAACAGCTTTTCTAGTTTCCTTATCCGACCAATTTTGTCTATTATAATGCTCCCATACAGCTGAAGTTCCGAATGTACCTTCTTCATTTTCATCAACTTCCAATGGAAGATTTCCTTGAGAAGGTGCATTGGTGGAGACCTCCATGGGATTACTGCTAGCTTCATCCATATCCTGCCATTTTAATGAATCAAATATTAATATCCTATCATTTGTTTAATTCTTGCCCTCTCCAAGACTTTGCTAGCTATTCTAAGTATAAATACAGTACAGATGCAAGCTGCTCTTTGGTCAACTTCAAAGCATAAATAGTTATTAAAATGCAACTGATCCCTCCTTTATCAACTTCAACATCAAAGCATTATTTATAAACAGAAGCCACTACTGCTCTGGCATGATGCATTATTTATAAACAGTGTCATCTCCTCTCTTTCATTTTCTGTGTTGTGTAAGTCAAGAGACAGAATTTTGCAGGCAGATCGAACAAGTACCTTTATAACTTCAGGTGATGTTGGTCCCAAAACTCGAAGCTATCTTACGAAAATAGGGAAGATGGTAGACAAGTACCCGACCAACTGAAGGGAGAAACAACTCAGTCAAGTTATCAACAAGACTTCAAAAGAGTAAATCCAGATTAATATGATAGATAGAGACCTCATCACTGACCTGTTCTATTATGGTCTTCCCAGAGTAACCTTCAATGACCAAACCTGCTGTGAGACCTATGGCTATCATCCCCCATGCTCCATTGATCGCCTCGATATCATGCCGGCTGTACCAGAATTAGACAATACCAATTTTGCTTAGAGACAATATAACAACAATTTTTGTGTTCTGGAAGTTACTACACAAAATTAGCAACCAGTTACTACACTTAATTTACATTCCAAGTATCATAGTTGAATCAGTAAAGGGTTGCCATAAAGAAAATACCCGGTGGTAAATTCATAACCAGGAAAGGTTAAAAGCAAAAAACACAGAAGAACAGGGATGATCTGAAGTATGCCACATGCCCATGAACTTGAGAGAAGAACTAGAAAGACAAGAACAGACCAGACGGACATATATAGGGAATATAATAGACTACAAATGGAGTAATAATAGTTCCATTAGATTAATTGAAAGGGAAACTCTGTGTCGACCCAAATTGCTTTCATCATCCTCTTCTTCTCACCTTACTCCCTTTCCCTCATCTCAAATCCCAAACCCTCCTTCCAAAAGTCCAAACGACAATTACTACTACAACAACAGCCAGCCATCTATCCACAGTCCACAACCCACTCAATAAGGAATCAAATTCCCCCATCGTACCTTTTCTTGGGTTTTCAAAAGGATCGGAAGAAAGTAACAACAAAATGAAAAGAAAAGAAAACACCCTAGTGGGGTTCGTTGGTCAATCAATCGAGGTTTGTAACACAGCAAAGGAGAGGAAACTTACCGCAACAATCAGTCGAGCTTTTAGGGTTAATGGATGAGAGGGATGGAGGGTTCGTGAAGGGATTCTCCAAGCCCTCGCGGCCGACGAGGAAGGCAATCGTCCTTGCGGTTGGAGAAGGAGGACTGGGCGTCGACGCCGGACGACAATCGCCGGCAGTCGCCGAGAATGAAGGGTGAAGATTGAATGGTTTTAGGTCAATGGAAATACGAAAGTAATCGAGAGGAATGGAGAGTGGAGAAGTGTTTGTTCTCTTTAGTTTTCAAATTTTTACGGGTCTAAAGTGGGGTTTCGGGTCAGATGGGCTTTTTTAGGGACAGAGTACAGTTTGACCCGACCCTTACAGGGACAAGGAGAAGACCCGTCCCAAAGTTGTCCCTCTATGCAAATAGACCCGGCCCGACCCTTAGGGACGGGACGGGACGGGTCGGGTCTTCGGGTTTTCAGGGTCAGCATTGCACCCCTAACCATTATAGTTTATTCCATTTTTATCACTAAAATTAGTTCAACAGTTCAAGTTTGATCACTGACATAGCACTCTCTAACAAAGTAGACCCAGGAATGCCCATGTACAAGGCCGAACACACGAAAGACAGCAGAATCACGACCCAGGATCGGAGGTGGGCTGTTTAACTCAGTTGCTTGTGAAAGACCCCAAATCGTCAGCCGCCGAGGTCTTTTACGGGAGGAGACGGAGTTGGCGAGGATTGTGAGTTTGTTGGATTCGGGTGCTGTGACGGATTGAGCTGCCGCGATGGAGGTTGCTGGATTCGGGCGCGGTGGTGGATTGAGTTTCCACGATGGAGGTAGCGAGGATAAGTTTAATTTTAGGTTTTGTTATTTTATTTGTTAATAATTGAAATAATGAGGTGGAAATATTAAATATTAAATTTTTAATTGCCACGTCACATATTTAACGGCCAATTCTGAGAGTTAACTGCCACATCAGATAAAGCTAGCTGAGAGTGATCAAACTTGAACTGTTGGACTAATTATAGTGAGCAGAAATGGAATAAACTAATTCTAGTGGCAAAATGTGATACTTTTTAGTTATTTCAGTGAGAAAACTTCCAATTTACCCTATATATTAGGCAAATGATTTTCCACTAGCGGAAGACGTTGTTGCATGAGAACTTGAAGATCACTGCTCGCCAAAACGATGTCGCTCCTTGCTTGTTCAAAACAGTGTCGCACCATCAAAGTAACAAAACGATGCAACGGTTTGACCTGGGTATCGTCCTTCGCAAGTGTTCTTCCTTCTCGAGCTCTTCATTTTCGCAGACCTCTGCTCCCCACACCATGGTAAAGGAAACCGGATCGTACCTGCCGGTTCAACCGGTAAAACCGGGAATCCGACCAGCGGCGAAACGATACCCTACCAGCCTCCTTTCTATCGCGCCGGCCGGTTTAATCAGCTTAACCGGCATGAACCGGTATACCGCCCGGTTTAAATCAGACCGGCGGTAATAAAAATGTGGTCAATCTCGCCGTACCAGCCTCCTCTTCGCCGCGCCGACCCTGCCTCTGCGCCGTGCCGACCTTGTCCCTGCCGCCGGTTGCATGCGAGCTGCGACAGTTTTCATCTTTAAATCTGCCTTCTCCGCCGGATGAGCCGTAGGGTTGTGGGGGTGGAGGACTGCCGGATGAGCAGTAGGGTTGAGACGGTGGAGGAGGGCCGTATCCGTAGCCGTACGGAGGGTGGTAAGGGTAACCAGACATGATCGGCGGTCGGAAATGAAAGGAATATCTTATTTGGGTTGTTACCTATTCTTGCTTTGCCCGGGTAATATAAAAGAGTGAAGGAGAGTGGGGCAGCCGGGCAGGTGGGAGGGAAAGGAGAGAGAGAGAGAGAGAGAGAGAGAGAGAGAGAGAGAGAGAGGAGGAAGAATGGAAGATGAGAGAGGGAAAAGTTGCACGCGGGGGAGTAACCAAGGAAGGTGATAATTGATAAGTGATGGGGAAGTTTAAAAAAAAAATATTATTTTAAAATTTTCTATTAATTTGCTAATTAGTTGTATATATTGTCCGGTATATTCCGATACATCTGGTATTACTCCGAGACGATACTCTGATTTCTGTTTTTTGACAGAAAATATATTTTATTATTGCAAAAACGGTATTTACCGGTATGAAACGGTTGAACCATGTTCGTACCACAAAATACCCTACCAGAAAGGAATCCGGTATGATGTCCGGTATGGTTTCCTTTACCATGCCCCACACAAGAAACCAGGTCGACGAGCACCACCTCTATTCTTCGTAATGATGATCACTACAAGGCATAGGAAACGGGTCTGAGGTCTGCTCAAACGGTCACTTCGTGATCGCTCCTATAAATAGGAATCAATTGTGTCATTTTAAACTTGACAGTTGAGAGCAAGCTAAGTGAGATTGGGTATCTACTTTGTTCGTCATGGGTCCATTCTTGAACTCACTTCGATACGTCAATCATAGGGTGTGTAAACCGGGTGATTGATCCTTGGGAAGTAGGGGTTTGAGTGTTTCTTTCTTATTTTCAAAGGGCCAAGCTTCTTGGCTTGGCTTGGCTAGGGTTCTTGTTTCTGCAAAGTGTAATCGTTCAAATTCAATAAAATTTCGATCTTTTCTTTTCACTCTGATTCTACACTTGGTATCAGAGCCTGCTCTTTGAAGGATTAATCATCGCCAAAGAGTGTTGCTCAGAATGTCTGGATCCTCATCAGCTGTAGTCTCTTATTCTGCGAATACAAATCCACCTTGGTTCGATGGAACAGACTACACAGTCTGGAAAAAGAGAATGAGGATTTATCTTCGCGGAGTTTATGGAGAGCTATGGGCGGTTGTGAGGAAAGGACCTATTCCCATGGAAGATGAAGATGAAGAAGAGTGGAAAGAGGAACAGAAGATATCGTCATAGCTCGATTCACGAGCTATGCACATACTGTTTTCAGCTCTCTGCCCTGAAGAACGGAGTCAGGTTGCACAATGTGAGTCTGCCAAGGAGATTTGGGAGTCTCTTCAGACAACCCATGAAGGTACGTCTGAAGTTAAAGAAAGTAGAATTGATGTCCTGTTAAATGAATATGAGTCGTTCGAAATGAGCTCAGGAGAATCAATATCTAGCATGTACAAACGGTTCAATGATCTGATCAATAGACTAAAGTGTCTAGGGAAAATATTTGAGACAAAGGACCTAGTTCGAAAAATCTTAAGGTGTTTACCTAGAGAATGGTTACCTAAGCAAACTGCTATTGAGGAAGCCAAAGATTTGAATACATTATCCATTGAAAGGCTAGTTGGATCTTTGCTAATGAAGAAGTCATAATACAAATGAATAAAGATGACCATAGAAGAAGAAAGGTTATTGCATTCAAAGCTCAAGAATATGATAGTGATTCTGAAGTAGATATGGGAGAGGACTTTGAAAAAGAATTTGCTCTTGTAAGTAGAAAGTTTCATCGGATGCTCAAAATGAAAAAGGATTTTCAAGCAAAAAGAGCATATGGTGACTCTAGACACTTCAATAATCAGTTCCCTGAACATAGAAAGGACAGGGAAGAAATTGAAAAGAGTTCCTACTAAAACAAACGAAAGATACACATCATATAGACCATATCTAGATAAAAGCACCCCGAGGTCATATGATAGATCCTCTGAAGGTCGAGAAAGGTTCAAAATCGATAAGGAAGACCACAGGTCTTCCAATGAAAAAGATCTAACAGTTTGCTATAAGTGTGGTAAGACAGGACATATTAGATCAAAGTGTCTTGCAGGAGGCAGAGCTAAGGAAAAGGCACTGGCTGCATCTTGGAGTGACCTTAGCTCAGAAGAAGAACAAGAAGCAAAAGATCTTGCTTACATGGCGTTTGCAACCAACAGTGAACACGAT